GGAGCAAGATGTCTTGTGAGGACTCCTGGCACAGCAGTGTTGCATTCTGGCTGTTGCTGCAGTGTTCTCATCTATAGATAAAAACCTTCCCAACTGCACCATGCTCCAGGGATGCTATTTAATAGCACAGAAATCAAGCTCTCATTTCTCATTTGCAGCTGCAGATCAGTCCAGGGTGATGCAAGAACAAATGACAGGGGCAGCAATGGCCATGCCAGCAGATACTAACAAAGCATTTAAGGTACAGTATTGCCACCTGCACTCCTGTTTGTGTGAGCCTGCAGGGTTGTAAGCTGCATGTAACTCATCTCCATGTGTCAAGTAAGGGAATTGCTCTGAATTCCTGTTCCTAAAATTAGAGCTGACAGCTTCTGAAGGCTGTGGGAGTTACTCTGGGTCTGGCAGAGCCCAAATACCCTGAAGTAAACCTGACAGAGCAGTCATTGCTGGTACAAAAGCTGAATTTATGTCTCATGCTCTGCTTTTGCTGAGGAAGGGGTTTTTTTACCTTGAGGTATAGTTCCAAAGCAGAAGCTGGCTCTCCAAAAATTGTGTTAATAGCTGAGCATGAGTCCAGCAGGCTCCTGACTGAACTTGGGTAAGAAAATCACATAAGCCAGTCAGTCAGTCCAGTGGAAAATCCATCAGCAATTTACTATCTTGAAGTTCTCCTAAAGCCCTTTCCATAGGCACTTGCTTGTTAGACTGCTTCTGCCTTTCACAGGCAGTGTTTATGGCCAGGTTTATGGATGAAGGTCAAACCTGGTTTCTGGTTCTGTGTGCTGTAGAAGAGGTTTAGCCACACATCATCTGCTGCCTGGAAGTTGGGATGGTCTGCTCCTGCAGTTTGTTTTCATAACCTTCCTGGTTCAAGATCCCACACTACCCAGGCAGAGGCTCAGCCAGGGAAGAGGATGGCTGCAGTTGGCAGCAGTGCTGGAGCACTGGCTGTTCTGCCACACTCAGCACTGAGGTGCAGTTCCAGCCAGTAGTGACTCCACTTCCACCCAGTACTGGCTCTCCACAGCATTTCTGCCAATTCAGCCTTGCAGGGACCAAAACCCACTACATGTTCCAGCAGAAACTAAAGGGGAAAAGCCTGTATTGCAGGAGAAGTGTTCTGGCCAAGAAATGCAGATCTCTTGCTGGGCATCATGTGACATGGTTTTTTGCAGGCTTTGTGCACAAGTCTGTGATCAGGTGCAAAACTTTTGGCCTCTTACCTGTTGTTACCAAGTAACTCTGAACTAAAGAATTACCTCACTGCAAAGCACTTGGCTCACCAGAACAGAACTGGCTGTTATAGAAGCTATGGACTGTTACAGAAGGGTAGAGGGTTGGCAGAAAGTAGATAATGTAGTTTTTCTAATTTCTGTGATGCAATTTGTATTGAGCAACTAACATCTAATTAAGCATAAACCACTGATTTCAGAGACTTGACAGGATTGCCAGGTTTTTAATAGAAATCAGTGTTTGTTGCAGTTTTTAAAGCAAGCACTGCTTTGTGTAGTTCTTGTCTAATCCTATGTTGCTTTTCCTTCTCTGCTTCTGTTCACTGCCAATGCAGACTGAATGGGAAGCCTTAGAATTGACAGATCATCAGTGGGCCTTAGAAGATGTAGAAGAAGAGCTCATGGCAAAAGACCTCCATTTTGAAGGCATGTTTAAGGAAGAACTTCAGACCTCCATCTTCTGAATTTGAGAATATGCTTTTGTCACTTCTTGTAAAAGTTATTTGAAAAGAAATCTGTTATCTAGAACTATATAATGTATTTTAGCAAGGCTGCAATTAAAATAAAAACATCATGTTCCGAACTGCAGTGCCCTCACTTTGATTTGAGCCCACAGACACACATACACACTATTTCCCCATTAATTTAATCCTTCCCAAGTCCATTTGTAAGCACCTGAGTGCCCACAGAGCCTCTCCTGCCTGTGAGCAGGGTGTTGCAGAGTGCCTGGCTGTTATTTACTGGGCCAGGTGGGATAATAAATGCTTTAAGCTGCTCACCTTGCACTGTAGAGAACAGGGAGCAACTGTTCCTGGCTTATCCCTCTGTAGAAACTCCTCAGACCTCTTCCCCAGGGAGAACAGTCCCAACCTAGAGAAATGCTTTGTAAAAAGCAGCTCTTCCATACTCAGGCTGTTATTCCACCCCCTTCTTTATTCTGAGCACCTTCTACTCAAGGTGAAACTGTAAATCCTCTTTAACACAGGAGCTGAGCCAGGCCTGTGAGACTGATTTTCTGTTCTCACCAAATACCTTCCCAGTGAACAGAGAAGGTGCCCCTTTCCCTTCTTCTCACAATGGGTTTCAGACCATGTTTTGGGGAGCAGCCCTTCACAGCAAAGCTCAGCAGCTGCTGTTCTAATTAAGGCTCATTAACCCTCAGGAGCTCCAGCTGAGATCAAGCTCCTCTGCTCTTACACTAATTTTGGCATGAAGACTTCAAACCTTCTCACCAGGGTTTCACAGCCCACCTTGACCTGCAGGACTGGGACAATCCCACACACAACCCACTGCACTTCCTCAGCTTCTTCCAGCCTGCTCTCACAAGTGTGTTCAGGTTGCCTTGAGGAGGAAATTACAGAGGCTGCAGGACAGCTACCTCAGTGGCAGCCCTGGTACCCCTGGAGAAAATGGACAGAAGGAAGACCAGGACCTCTCAGGGGTCTGCAGAGGAAGAGGAAGGATGAAACCGCAGCTGAGGCTGCCCAGTGCCACAAAAAAGCAAGGACAGCTTTGCTAGAGCACCAGGTACCAGCAACCCAGCACTGCAGAGAGAAAATGCAAACCTGGAGCAAAGTGAACCCTCAGCTGTGCCCTCAACAGCTGATTTTCTCCCAGATCCCCACTGGCTCTGCAGGACTCACCCTCCCCCAGCCCAAATTCCTCCTAGAGCACCAGGCATCCCCACAACCAGCAGCCCTAGACCATGCAATGAAAGCTGAAAATACAACAGAACCCAGTTTCAGTGCAAACCACTCTTTAATTTTCCTCTTTGTACAACAGAGCCAGCCACTTACAAAGTGCTAGTCTAAAAAACAGTCTGGTATTACAGCACACACACACCAGCCAAAGCCCAGCAGCTCAGAGGCAGAGAAAGCAGAGCTGGGCTGCTTGTTCTGCAGTACAAGAGTCTGTTCAGGATCTGAGATTGAACCCCACAGATGCATTTCTCAGTGTCAGCACAGGTAGGGAGGTGAGGAGGAGGACAAAGGCTACTTTAGATTGATTTATCTTTTAAAAAGGTCTTTTACTGTCCTCCCTTTCCTCTATTCCCCATTTTGGAATGCCCACATGACTTACTTTCAGGGTAAAACTAACAAAAAAATGCTGATTAGAGTAATTTCAGTGCAGTGCTACAGCTTAAAAGTTGCTTTTTGCATGCTCCCCTCAGTAATAAGGAAAAAAAAATTCAATATTAAGAGTTGCAAAAATAAAAATAAAACTAAACAGCAGAAGCAACTAAGCAATTGTGATCTCAAAATTTAAATTTTAATGCTTTAAAGCTAATTCCACAAAGGAGAATCACATCAGCAGCAGCATGCTGGCTAGAGACAATGCCCCTTCCTCCTCCCCATCACTTTCCAGTGCCCTGGCCAAGGGCTGCCTGTGCTGCCCTCCCAGGGTGCAGGGACAGGCACACTGCAATTTCAGGCACTGCCTGGGCTGCAGAAAGGTGGGGCTGAGGTGGAAAGTTTGGAGTTAAATGGATGAGCACTGCTGACCACCACAACAGGTGATGGCCAGCACTGAAGTCACAGCAGCTGCAAGCACATATTCCAGAGGGAACAAAAAGCACACTGACAGCAAGTCTCAGCCTTTCATTCTGCCAACACACTCGGATCTAAAAGGAAAAACTCTCCTGTTTGGTTCACTACCTTGAGCTAGATGTTTCCCTAAAAAATACACGCTAAGGCTCTGGAATTTTTCCCATTTTTCACATGGAAGACCAGTTCTCCATTGAGACTCACAGGAGTCTCTTCTCAAGAAAGATGGACTTGAATCCTATAAAGCAGCACACAGTAAAGGAGGACAGAGGGAAGAGCATTTGCCAGTTGTGACAAAAGGATGGAGCAGAACCATTGAACAGCAGAGGCAAACAGGACCTGGGACAGGACTATGACACCTGCAGCCCCACAGAGGGTGATTGGGTGAGGATAGAAAGGCAGCACTCAAGGGTGGAGGAGGGCTGAAAGAGCAGTCCAAAAAAACCAAAAGTGCAAGAGAAAAGGCTGAAAACTCACACAATCCATTGCATTGGGCTGTCATCTGTACAGGTGACAGCTCTGGGGACACAGTGCTGAGCTTGGCTGGAGACATAAATGAGCAAAAAAGGATAAAAATGCTGTCATCACTGCACAAACCATAGGAGAAATGCTGGCAGCAGAAAAGTGCTTACAGAGCAGCCTGGAAGTGAGGGGTGTAGGAGATGGAAAAGACAAGAAATCATCAATGTTATGCATGGTATTTTCTCTACAGAAGAACAGGAGCCAGAGCAGCTGTATCCTGCATCTCCATGGGGATCAGCCTGCACATATGCCACACCACAGGCAGGTATGATTCACTTCTGGCCAAGATTCCTGCATCACTGGATTCAGTGATCACATGAAAAATGCTGAGTCAAAACTGCCCAGGAGAGCCTCAAATGCATCAGTGAAAGGATGCAAGCAAGAGAAACGTTTGTTGCTTTGCCAGGGGACCTAGGTACAATGGCAGAGACTGCAACAGACCAGATGTACAAAGATTTGAACTGAGCTCCAGAAAGGGTGCAGGAGGCCTCCCTGACACAGGCAGGGCCCAACAGCAACACCAGAGAGTTGGCAGGAAGCCCCAATGCCGATTCACAGAATCGTACCCACCATTCTCCTCCACGGGCCCCTCAAGGCTCAGCTGTGCTGGCCTCCAGCTCAGGCTGTCCTCTCCCAAGCCCAGCTACAACCCTCAGCCCAAGAACCACAGCCCCAGCCCCTGCCTCTAGCCACACAGCTCAGCCAGATTTTAAAAAGAACTTTATTGAAGCTCCAATATATATTATTTTTGGCCTCTAAATACCCAAGTGTCAGCACCTATTCCTGGCTCTTCAGTGCTATTCTGCAACCCCCAGCACTGAATCTCTCAGTGCTTGATTTTCTGCTTGACCCCTACAGAAGGAAGAAAAATTTTCAGGCGCCTCAGGCATTGCTTTACAAGAGCAACCACTACCATGGTGGCTGAGTGCTGGAGGTGGTGCTTAGTTGGTGTCCATGCCATCACACTCTTCCTGGGGAGCAGAGGGGGCAGAATGTTCCTCGCTGTTTCGGCGCTCATAGAACAGCACATACGCAGCTTTTGTCTACCAAACAGAGAGAAAACCCATCTGAAACCATCCACACAGCTTGGCTGCAATGTCACACCCAAAGCAGGGAACCACACTCTCAGCACAGCTGCAACAGCCTCAAGCCAAATACTCACCACTATTTGGTCTTCTGAAGCCACCGAGACACTGCTGTCATCGAAGTAGTACCACTTGTCATTGACCTTGTTCTTGGCGTAGGCAGTGTCTGTCAGGGAGGAACTGCAGCTCAGCAGGCTGGGCAGGGCCAGCAGGGAGTGCACACACTGAGACTCCAACCACGTGTGCATGCGAGCCAGGAGCCAGCTTTGGCATTGCCTGCCCCAAGCCTAGTTAACCAGCATGAGTATCTACAACATGCCAGCTGGCCCAGCTAGTCTAGGACCAGGTTCCACACAGCAGGCTTAACCCTGCCAGCTGAGATACAGGGAAAAGAAACTTAGGGAAAAAAGGTAATAGGCTTTGTTCACTGCCCTTAAGTCAGAGCTTTCCCAAACACACACAGTTTAAGACTCTGCATTTTCACTTGAAAGAAAAATTTTCTACTGCTAATGGATCTGATCTGGCTCTTGCAAGAATCCTCACTCATGAATGAAGTTAGAAGTCCCTCAACATCTCTTCCAGCCAAGACTTCTGTGACTGTGATCTCCAGCCTCAGAACATGTGCCCCTTCAGCTACAGGAGTTCATCATCCTCTCATGGTAAATTGCTTCTGGGTGGTTTTACAAGTGTCACCTACAGCATGGATCTGCATGGACACCTGATACAGGTAACTCACCTACAGACACTTTTCATCTGTGCTGCAGCAAAATCAGTGACAGAAAACACAGACTCACCACATACCATACTTGTATACAAGTGGGTTTTTCTCCTGATGAAACAACATTTTCCTATGTCAGCCCTTATCAGTGCAAAGGTGGAGACATTCTACTGTCAACCAGTGTCACAATTTCAGGTGCAGCACTGAAAAATTTGGACTCCACTCATAAATTGGGGAACACCATCACACAAACTAATGACAACTAACCAAGGTCCCACAGGCATCAGTCAGACCTCAGGCCAAAGTGCTGCTACCTATCTGGCCTCCAATCCTTACAGGATCCCAATCCAATACTGCCTGCACACACAACACAGATCAGTTCTGGAGCAGACACCTTAAGTGAGGGCTATTGGGGTGTCCCAGTGCAGACCCCTCCCTTGTCCCCACGTTTCCTTGCACACCAAGGACACAGCAGCAGTTACTCACAGTGGCCCACTCCCATGGCTCCATAGTGATTGGATACTGCAATGAGGTCATACACGTATGAGCCTGCTCTTGGGTCACAGACAAACTCAGACATGTTCAAACCCCTGGAAGGAAACACACAACTATCAGTACACCAGTAACCATCACTTTTTAGGAAATGAAGCATGGCACCAGCGCTGCTCTGCTGCTCAGGGGCCAGGTGTTGTTAGTGTGAAGACCAGGCTTGTCACCCCTCCCACACAAGGCAGGTCCTGACAAACACACCAAGCACTGCCAGTTTAGAGGGAGGTGTTGAATAAAACACAGCTTGGAGTGCCCCCATGTAGGCATGAAGAGTGAGACAGGAATAGTAAGGGATATGCTTCATCCACAGCAGGATGCCAGCAAGCAGAAGCAGAGGGACAAGGCAGGCTTTCATTTTGTAACCATGCAATACTCAATACTGCAAGTGCAGCACTGCCAAAAAATTTGCTAAAATTGCTACAGAAGTTCTCTTGGTTGAATCACATGGGCTTAAGTGAATTTCAGAAGAAACAGTACCTGCTAGTAATTAATGCTCTTTGAGATGTATAAAGCTGAACAGCATTAACAAAAACCACCCCCCAAAACCACTAACCCTCTCAACTAATGCCTGCTGTCCAGCCATTCAAACTCAGAAAACACTTGCTCCAGTTACAGCCTTTACAACAAGCCCACCCAACAGAAACATCAGAAGTACATCTTTCTTGACCAAGCTCTTCCTGGCTTGAGAGAAGAACCCTACCTGATGGGGAATTCCACAACTGTGTCAAGTTTATCCCTCCAGTATCTGCTGTACGAGAAGCGTTTCAAATGCACCACCAAGATCCTGGGCAAAGACCACAAGTCAAACTTCTTCGTGGCCTGCTGATGTTTCTTACAGTTAGGGCAGTACCTAAGGAAGGAGTAACCAGCAAGGAAATTAATGACTGCATCAAAAGAAAAGCTTCTGGCCTTCCATTAAAAATGCCTCACTAGCACAAGCACAGCCCCTGCCTGACAGAAGGCACACTGCTGTGGAATATGCAGGTGCACATTCTGCCTCAGAGAATTCCAAACTCCACTTGCTTTCATTTTATAGTCCTACAGCAAGTATGTTGATTGCACATTGTACAAAAACTAATTTTTAAAAATAGCCTGGTTATTGGAAGCTGCATTCCCACTGATACTTTTTTCTTAAATATAAGCAAGAAACAAATACTTTTATTAACCCATGTCCACAGGCTATTGAGTCAATGACTTAATACAGATCTGACAGACTTCTCAAAGATGAGGACAAAAGGACAGACCTGAGAAATTATAAGAATCCCAAGAAAAGTCATATGAACTCAAACAGTTACATTTGATGGTAAATATGGCAGGCAGACAGAGGTTCTTACCACGGGTCATGTTCACCAAGTGTTTCCATAGTAGTGAAGAGCTCTATGCAGTCTCTGAGGGCTACAACAGCCTTCTTCTTCTGTAGTTGTAGCATGCTTCCATGTTTTTCAAATGCCTAGTGAAAGAGACAGGTACTTTATTCAATTCCATGTACTCTGTAATCCCTGACATCAAGAAATTACATGCTCACTTTCACCACACTACCTATTTCTGCACCTCCTTCCCCACACAGACAATCATCTCCAGCTTCCATCCACTTTCTTATGCTAAATAGTCCATAAGAGAAAACAGATGTTCTCACTTGGGTTTAGAGCTTTTATCAGGACAGTAAAAACTGTCTTATTCTGCTACAAAATAGTTTAAAGATGACCCACCAGAACACTGTCTACTGTCACCTTTTAAATACCATGCAAATTTACATAGATGACTTATGAGAAGAGCATACTACAACCTGTGCCTCCTGTTCATCATACAGCAGCCTCCGTGTCTCAGAATCCCAGTCAATAGCAACTGCAGAAAAAGCTACAAAAGAAAAGGAAATATTTATTGTACAGGTGTAAAAAGAAGAAAGGAGGAAAAAAAAAGCAAGAAAATAATTACCATTCAGTTTTAAGATTTTTCCTTCAACAATGGAGTTTATCTCCGAGGTCCCAGAGGAATTCACAAGGCTTAAAGTGAAATGCTGTTTCTTGCAAGGCTGCAGGTCTCTTGCTGACTCCACTTGCATACAACCCTCAGAGTGGCAGGGGTCAACTTCTGTCAGCTTTTCCTTGCCTTCCTCTCCACCATCCTGATGCTCCATCTCTTCAATGTCGCCTGGACAAACATTTCAAACAAGGACAATGTAACAGGGCTTCAATGGAAGTTTAGCCTGACACCTCCCATGGACAGCTGTTTGCATCAGCCTGTACAACACACACCAGTTGTGTGGGAAGCAATGAAAAGGCACACAGAAAAAGAAACCTCTGCTTGCTAATCACTCCATCTGAAGCTGTATTTTCTCCTTTAGCAGATGCCAGTTTAGCAGAGTGCTCAGTTTGCAGGTTAACAATGACTCCTTCTGACAGCACACCCTAAGAAGCATCCCCAAGAGAGAATCAGCAAAGTGGCAGTTGGGTGTATTCACAGAAAGGAATATGTAAGTCATCAGGAAAGTTATTTCCATTCTTTGGGGAAAATGGGCAGGTTTTTTCCCCATGTAACTTAATTGCAGCTGTTACCCTCAGGGCTACACTAGAGAATCACTTCAAACAGGGAAGGGAAACACTCATGTGCCATCAGCTTTAAAAGCTTCCTAGAGAGCATGTGGCCTAGGAATGAGACTGTTGATTCTGTGTCCTCCAACAGACAAATTTCTCCACAATCTTTGTGACCTAACAGGCCAGTTTTCATCACCAAAGGGCATGTCAGGAACGGCTGCCTCTGGAGGGAGGCACCTGGACACCTCAATTAAGCAAGGACTTCCCTAACACTGGTCAGAATGAATGCACATCCACACCTTGTTCTCCAGCTGCTGCACATCTGATCTCCCTAGGAAAGAAATGGTCTACAAGATTCTCCTTGTACCAAGCAGATGTCCAGCACAACAGTGTGGCTTAATCATGGTGGAGAAACAACCTGCTAGAGCCTAAGCCAAATACATACAGCACAAAACAAATGCTGTTAGAAAGCTAAAGTGCTGAAAAGATCCCAGCAGATTTTGAAAGGGCTTTACCTTCAACCACACCATTGGAGCCATTGCAGGTTCCTCTGTCTGGGCAGGGTGGGGAGCACTCTTCTGCCAGAGGGAGTTTCACACAGCGGCTGAAGAGAAGGGATACATTTCTTACACAGCCATACTGGAGCTGTGCACCAGAACAGCAGCACACTCCTCTATCATCAGCTCTTGCTGCCCAATTCCCTCCAGCAAACCAGAACCCAACCTGTACAGCACCATTTACATTTACATGACAGCCCAAGAACCCTCAGAATGAGTCAAACAACAATTCCCGGAATCTTTGCTCTCACTGCTTGTTCCATGTTTCACTGGCTGTATATTGAAAAGGCAGAAGTAAGTTATGGTGGCCCCATCTGTGAGCCCTGAAAACATGCCCTCTTCTGCTCCTGATTCCTTTTGCAAGGCTGAGCCAGCAATATCTGTTACAAAGTCGAAAACACCAGGACCTTGAAATGTCCCTGGGGCCTCCAGACACTAATGCAATGCAAATCCTGGTTTATACAACCCACACAAATCAAGGAAAATTCTCCCTGTTAACAAGGATTCAGTAATCCTATTACAGTGTAATTGAATAAGCAACCTCTAGAGCTTGGCACAGGACTCAAAGGTACAGCCATGACTTACCTGATCTGCTCCAAAACCACACTGTATAGGTGATCCACAGTGAGCTTGTGTTTGGGCACAGATATTAAGAGTGGCTGCCCAAAGAGCACAGTCCCTGAAGTGTTGCTGGATTGCCTCACTGTCTTCTCCCGAAAGTAAATGGAGAGAGTAACATACTCTGAGCCATCCTCACTTGGCTTGCAAACTTCATACCTGTTTGAAAGATAGGTATTTCCAGGGGTTATTTCCACTGCCAAGAAGCACAGCAGGTAGGACCAATATGAACTCAGTTCAAGTCTCTCCCCACAGTACAAGAGGGCTGTGCTGTCCTCATGCTACAGAGCAGTTTCCTGAACATACCCCATGGCTCACAGTGGCACAGGACACACACCTGCAAATGACTCAGCTGCCACCTTCCCTCTGTCTTTATTCCTAATTCAAACCCCTGTTACCAATCACCTCCCAAGACACTACCCTGACAACTCCACCAGTGAAAGATACTAAATGTACTCTGAAATTCCTCTGACAGTGTCTGTTCCCCCTGGAGAAAGAAATCTTCTTGATACTTTGGGTCTTGAATTCTGCCAGCCTCTCAATCAATTGTATGGCCTGAGCTCACATCACTGAGCAGCTAATGTTTCATAAAACCAAGAGTCTGGAAACATCTGCTTCACAGAAAAATCCAAGGACAGTAAACAAACAAGAAAAATTCTGGAAGACAACAAACAGCCTGGGAGAACAGTGAGGAGACTGTGACGCAGTTTGTGCCCTGGGTGAAACAGCAAATGAGGTATTTGCAGCTGTCAGAGGAGAGGCAAAAGTAACCACGTGCTCCAACACTATCACACTGTTTGCTTCAGGCCTATGCATTACAAAAGATTCATTTTCAGGAATGCCAAGTCACACTGCTCTTTAATTTAGTGAGTCACCTGTCCCAGATTTATCTTAAAACTGAAAGAGAAAGAAAGATTTCATGAAAAGATGTCACTATACATAATGACCTAGACCACAATCACATATCTGAATGCCTCAAACTCCTAACAATTCTCTTCCATCAGACAAGCCACTCCTCTCCAGAGCTGAGAAACATTTTTTATTCCTGTGTTCAGAGCAGGGAGGAGAATAAATTTCAGAGCTGTAATTCTGCTTCATTCTACTTACAACAAAAAAGGATCCCAGCTTGGGACTTGGACTGAGTTCAGTAGAGTACACAAGGAAAACATCCTGCCAGGAAGTCCCAGCCCACCAAGAACACAAGAGCTCAGAGTCAGCATAAGAGTCCAATGCCAGCAGCTGTTGAGGTTTTCTAGGCTGTCAATGCTACTCAGCTGGACACCAGCACTGCATACAGTCCACACCTCCTAAAGTTTCCTGAGAAACAGCACTACAAAAAGGTGAATTATTTCACTTAGCACTGTTTAAACCACAAAAGGCCATAATCAGTCCCAGAATATAAGCTGTGATTAACACCTGGTCCTAGGAGACCCTTAGCCTGGACTCCTGTAACACAGCTCAGTGCATGCCACTCCTGTGACTCCTCTCACACCACCCACACTGCTCTGCAAGCAGCAATTAATGAAGCCCCATTTACACTCCACCCTCAAGCATCTTAATGAAGCCCTGCCCATGAGAAGGAACAGATGGAACAGAAATAAAAGACTATTCCCACAGGCAGGGGTCACCCATCACAAACAGCCAGCATGCAGCACCCCGTAACACTCTGCAGAGAGCATCTCACACACTTCACAACACAACAGATTACTCAAGTGTCCCTCTACCCCTTCCACCTCAGGACACCTTTAATATACTAGTACTAAAAGCAGACATATCAGAATCGAGAGCTGTCATTTTTATGATCTCCTGAGCAACAGCTATCCCTTGAAAAAATAACCAAAGCCAAAGTACTTTATGTACAGTGTAATAACAGGCTGTAGAGCTGATACTGGGAATTGCTGGACAATACCCCATAATTCTGTATGTTACAACCTAATTGAAATAATAGAACATGAAGGTGATGCTACTCCAGATGACACAGCATGGTTTTAGAAATCAGAAACATCAGCTCAGCTGCTACCACACTGCTAGATACTGGCTAATTGCCTTTATAATTCATGACAACTCAGAAGTGTCTGAAAACTGCTAAGTAATAGGGTAGGACTTGACCAGTCTTTATCAGCATTATGGAGGTTCAGGTGTGTGGTTTCAATTCAGAAAGGAGGGAGAGAGCAATGAGGTAACTTTTGTTCCACTGCACAATGAAGGTAAAGCAAGTGCACAGAAGAATGGAAAGCTATGAAGGACCAGAGCTACAGGAAAGGACAATGAGCTGAACACCAGGCTAATATATGGGTTGTATGTTACTGAAACATCCCCTCACAGGTCCTGGGATCTGTGATATTAACTCCAGCTGCAAAACAAGGATTGTGGACGACAAGTCAGTCTACAGCAACAACCAAGAAGTCTATTTTGAAAAAGAATGAAGAAAGGCAGGAAGAAATGCTTTACAGAAGCTGCCAAACAGATCTGTCTGAAGGGGGTTACTACTGCACAACAACCCAGAGATGCTGCTGAGAAGCCACAACAGGGTCAAAAGTAGATAGTAAGAATAAACACAGGATTGGAAAAAAACTGGGAGAAAGTGCTGCACATATTCCAATCTCTTCTAGGAAGTGGAGATACTCCTAATCTGTTTACTTTCTTTCATAATACCAGAACACATACAAACAAGTAATCTAAGAGATCAGAGACTGAAAATGCAACTTTCTTAAGACAATGAACAGTTTGCACTGTAGAAACTGGTCAAAAGATTCTGCCAGTCTTTCAGAGGAACAAGATTAAAAATGATGAGGAATTCACACAGGAGGTTTCTACAAGGCTTAAATAAATACAAGTTCATTTTGGAAAGGACGCAAACTCTCATTTCAAACAAGAAAACCCCAATTCTACTAAGTGTGAAAAAACTTCACAGATCAGTTTGCTACAAGATCCTACACATCTCAAATGTTTTGTATAAAACTACTGGACCTGCTGGTCTGCTGACCTCACTAACTCAGTTCAGTAATTGCTGTAGGCTCAGTCACACTAACAAACCCGACACCTCTGCACCAGCAATGGTTGTTCAAGACCATGAACTTATCTAAATGTAATACACAGCATGTTGTAAGAGAAGGCAGAAAACATGGCATGTACAGCCAACTGAATAGATCCTATTCAAATATGCACACTTTTATAGGTTAAAGGTGACCTGCAAATCAATTTGTGAAACTTTTATCAACATAAACAATACATGTTCTGTAATATGCCCCATTAGCCAGGCTAAGAGAACAGGGGTATCTAGTTTATCCATCAGAACATTTTTCTTCTTAGTTCCTCAGAACTAAGAAGAAACACTAAGAGCAATGCCCCTGAAATGGGCTGTGGAGTTTGTTTTCATGTGGGACTTACCTGAGCCCTTGTAGGCCGGCTCCAAGCTCCAGCAGGATCCCTGGTGATGGGACAGCACCAGCAGGTGCATGTGAGGGGTTACATTGGAGCGGGAGCCGGAGGTCCTAGGGGGGCTGGGCTTCCCAGGACCTGGGGAAAAGAAACAGCAAGTGTTTGGGTTGTGTGCTGAATGCTGTGCTCTGCTTAGCCTGGGCAATGAGAGCATTCAGTACAAACACTGAACTACTGAATCAAATTGATTTGCAGACCACCTTTACAGGAGAGATTTCTGATCATTTGCCACAGACCTGCCTGTCTTTCCACAGAACAACATGCTTGGAGAGAACCATTTCCAGCTGTGAGAAGTGGGATACTCCCACCATTCTCTGGCTGCACTGCCCCTGCATGGTGGGTCAGTGGTCTTGTTTCAAGGCTTCTACCAACCCTCTCCACTTCTGCATCTCAGCTCTTCTCTGATAAATATTAATACAACTTGCTCCAGGACTACCTGACAGTTCCAAACCTGTCAAGACGAGAAAGAGATGAGTGCAAAGCCTTGTGAAAGAACAGGCTTGGACAATTTCCAAAATGTCCAAATCCTCCTTCCCTCTCAGTGGAGAAGAAAATGTACGGTTTTGTTCTCTTGTGTAAAAGGTGCCAGGTAAATTTTGGAATGCATTTCAAAGTTACTTAAAGTCACCTAAATATCAACCAGTGTGTATTTGCATTTCTTCTTTTTCAGGTTTTACTATCAGAGAGCTCAACAGGTAAGATAACAAACCAGAAGAACTGATGAACCAGAAACTGAGCAGTTCAGAGGAAAAACATATCTTAGACATCCAAGGCACATCTTCATTTTCCAAACTGCAATCCATTCAGCTTAAGTTCCAAATGGAGTCCAATTCTTGCCCCCTTCCTCACTCCTCCAGATTCAGTATTCCCAACCACTTTAGTGGCACATTAAAATTCACAATACACATCTCAAGATATCCAAGATGCCCTGCAAAAACTGAATGTGTCTTCCCTGATAACCCTAGGGTGAAAACCAGAAAAAACCCACAGTTTTTCCTGCCACTGAAATATCCCATAGAAGGTGGCAGCTCAATATTCCATACATCCCATATACAGCACATTTCCCAAATTTCACCAACAGCACAGTCTGGACTACAATACCTATGTCTGCAGACCATGTCCTCTGTCAATCAAATGCTCAGAAAAGCCAAGGCCCATTCCAGCTGCTCTATTCCTGCTGCAATGTGTTGTGAGAGCTCCTGCTCTCTGACATTTCCAACCCAAGCATTTCAGGGAAATCCATGATCTGCTCAGTAACAAACCAACAGAGACCCAAATCAAAAGCTGAAACTTAACAGACATTGGTGTCAGAAGTAAGACACCAGTACAAAAGTACTGACTTTAATTTTTTTAAGCCACAGCACTGCTGGAGCACAGATCTCCTGCAGTGTTAGGAGTTTTTGAATTTTGGATTGAGATGTCTGTTGCCAGCTGGCCAGTGCACAATACAGTAAGATCAGAGGTCTGGCAAACCACAGGGGTATTGTTGTCACAGGCAGGCCTGGCTACTGCTCTCAGCAAAGCAAGCCTGCAGAAACACTGTTAGAGACTGACATTCATAATTAAATTTTTCAATCCTGAAACAACTTAATATGATGCTAAGAAATGTACAGAAGGCAAGAACTACCAGTTTAAGTTACAAGCAGATCCCACAGCTTCAGAAGCACTGACACAACTGATTTCTGTTACAGGAGACAGCCACAAAGGTGATCATGGTAGGAGATCTGAGCAAGGTCCTGTTTATAGGGGAATAATGAGAACAAGGAACACAGGAACAACTGGATGGCAACTGCTCATGAACCCAGAGCCCCAGGGCTCTGTACTGCCCTATCATTGGATATCAATGAATGATATCCAATCATTCTTTGGATTCTCAGAGTCCAGCAAATAAGCACAGATGATTACTAAAACAACCTTGGTTTGCTTCTGCCAGTGGAAGGGAGGAGTGCTTCTCAGGTGAGGAAACTGTTACACCTTAAAAAAAGTTATTTAAATGGAAGGGTGCAGCCTTCAGTTTACCACAGCTTCTCCCAGAATTCACTCAGTGTGGAAGGAATCACAGGAAGGAATCAGGAAGAACAAAGGAAAAGGCCTGTGAGCCTACCTGAGTTCAAAGACCAGGCAACAAAATACTTCAGAAAAAGACCTCAAAAATCAATAGAACCCACTGAGCCATGTGTAATTTCAAAATGTAAGTTTGGGAAATATGCATGAGAAATATCTGTTTCTGAATATGCTGTACTGATTTAACTCTGTTTTAGATAGTTTTTCCCTTTGTTTTCTAACCAGTGAAAGAAACTTAGCATCTAAGTGCAACTACTTAAAACAAGGAGCGAGATATACACATTACAGTTTTCCCACAGGGAAGTCCTACTACTGGACATTACTGGGAAATAAGAGCACATGATGAGCATGTAAAAGGGACAGGATCAATAAAACATGAGTTAGGGAAGAGTTCAAGCACATGAGACAGCAAGTATCATGAAGTGAGTATCATTTAAATACAAGAGATACTTTGATTCTAGAAAACATCTTTACTTGAATAAAAAAAATTAACTGATGGTACTCAGTCATATCCCGGGTCCCATTATATGTCAAATTGAAGCACACCTACATTAACATTTAGTGCCTAAGAACATACTCTGAAAAAGGTGCCAGGACTACCAGATGATCCCTTTCCAGTTTGTTTTTCACACCTGATAGCTGACATAGCTCTCACTTGGCTTTACTGCACTGAGCCCAACATGCTGAAATGATGCAGCTTCCCTATGTGATTTATAAATAAGTCATGCTATTGAAAACCCATCTGTTCTGTAACTTCTATCTTCCTAGACTCAAAGCTGGTATGTTTTAGTCTTACCATACAAGGTCATTGATTCATACAAATCTTAGGAAAAATTTAAGTTTTCAAAACATGGTAGGCAAGAAGCTTCCAGAAGGATTCTTCCTTTCTTAAAAAGCAATTGCTATCTTTTCAGCCCAACACTCTAGAAAGGGTTCTTAAGAGTTTCTTTTGTGGTAATAACCAGTATAAATGCAGTGCAAACAAATGTTGGATGAGTTAGCATGGTTTTTTAGAGTCTTTTTTAGGTTATTTAATTCAATTGTGAATTTTGGGTGAAAATACTATGACTGTAAAACCCTACACTGCTCTACTTTCTAATAAAAGGCATCTGTTCCCCTTCATTAAGTGATACAAAGGCAGTTTTCTTTCAGGAACAGCAGAGAGATACATCACTCTGTGTAACCACTTATATACCCCACAGCTCCATCACCAGTACAGGAGCACCTTTTCCAAGCTGAACATTTCATGGACTGGGCAGGCATACAGAGCAGCCTTCAAGTCATAAACAGCAAGTCTTTTCCTGTCACTCCTCTAAAGAATTTTCCTCAATTTAAGAAGAAAAAAAATATTTTTAGTGAGAAACTCTTCTTCGTTGACTTTGGGGAAATAAAATGTTTCTCAACATTTCAAGTGGAAACAAGGTTGTTCTTTAAAGGTGGAAGGTTTTGAAAGACCTATTTTTGAAGCATTTTTTATTCCTCTTTTTAATAAACAGTGAGACATTTGCCAGTAATCTAAGAAGTTAAGTTGCTGAGATATCAGAAACTCCTGAAGTTATTGGCAGCAGCAGTCTGAACAAAGCACCACATACCACATTTCCCAGCCACACATTACACAGCACCTGCAGGAGGCAGAAACCTGATCTGCCAAGTCACTGCCCGTAACTTCTGGCAGAAACACAACAGCTTGAGCAGCACTTGACAAGTTCCTCTTTAACTGTAAAACCACCTTTTCTGGAAGAAGCAGAAGGCAGAGAGGTACATCCACAACTAAAAGTACATTCCCTAATGGAAAATAGATTTTGAAGCTGGCAGGACAAAAAAATAATAGATGGAAACAAAGTGGAATTCAAGAACCTTCACACTACTCTAACCATTTATTGAATGATCTCAAAACACCTAACAGCAGATCTTTTATAACCAGGCAAGGCAGGTAGATTGCCCACACTAGAAGTAATTATGCATTTGCCTTTTAAAAACTTTCCTCTTTACGAAGAAGTGTTTCTCTGCTCATTTTTTTAAACAAGACTTTTTCAATAAAAGAATGCTGGTTTTTAGCTCTAGTTAGAATATTACTTTACATATCTTTTTCCTGGCAGCATTACCCATTAAAAGGACTTCCTATGAACAGCTTTTTCCTAATTCTTGCCCTGGTGCCTGGCTTCTTGCTCTTGTTTCTTAGCGCTGAAAAGATCTTGGAGGGTGTACATGGAAAAACAGGATTTGCAAAACTTCCTCCTGCTACCTCTCCTCTTCCTCAGAAGGTTATTTTTAACCCAGGTCAGTTCACTCACTGTGACTCACAGCAGCACTTCATTTACAGTTACCCTGCACATAAAAGGAAGTGGCAATTGCAAAGGAAAATACACTTGGAGCTACAGTTCAGCCAATGCTTGCCCCACACCCCAGAGCAGACCTGCTTCAGACATAGCTGTTTTCTGTGGAGGGATTTACAACATGTTGTGCCTGTATGAAAGCAGGGGTTTTTTTGCAATTACCACTGTAATATCATGCTTCTTGTTTTTAAAATGCTTTACTTGCTGCAGAGACAGACAGACTTACAAACTAACCCTCTACAGATTTCACAGAAGCCACACATCCTTCCCAGAGATCCCATATGGTCATACAGCTGAAGACAAGAACTTTTACAAAACTCCTTCATTACATCCCAGCAGTAAGGTCACAACAGACAGCATGACAGAAGAGCACCAGGATGTCACAGCATCCCACCCCCTGAAAGGTTCCCACAGCACCAGAGGATGTCAGTGCAGGTCTCCACACAGACCCAACAATTCCATGGCAGCAACATTCTTGCACTGGAATGTTCTCAAATTTCAGCTGCAATAGAGGATCACGGCTTCTGCTCTCCTCACCTCACCAGATTTCAGAGGTGACTGGAAATATCTCACCCACCACACACATGTAGAACATCAAGCACGACCAAATCCTCAGCTTTGCCCTCACAACAACAGTTTAGATTCAGTGTTAAGCACCAGTCAAGAGCCCATAAAAACCCCCAGTGATTGTGCTCTAACAACAGTGAAGGATTTTGGAAAGGCAGAGCACACCAGTTTAGACTTTGTACTATCCTAGTAACAGTGCAAAGCTTTTGGCTGATTTGGAAAATATAAGAACAACAAGCTTGAGCAACAGTAAAAATGTCAGTAAGAGCAAAACTGTAATCCAGATGTAACTGTGTCCTAAAGTGTCTTGTAGGAAGTTCTAAACTGCATAGCACAGACAAGACTAAAAGTTTATTATGATCCAAGGGCCATGTCCTCCTGTGTTAGAAGAATACCAGCTGAACACTGCAGATGTTGGCCTGTTGGTAGGAGCACTGCTGCATTACTGCTGAGTCATGAGAAAGGTCTACAAGAAGGCTCAGGTCTTGTGAGGGGACAGAAACTGGATTTTAGAGCCTCAAACCAAAGCAAATGTTTTGCAGTATTCTTCACATGTGGCATTTTCCCAGTTTACTCACACAAAGATGTCGTCTTTTGGCATGATATGATTTAAACCTTCATCCATTTGGAAGATTTTGTGGAATCTGTGATTATACACGTCTGTCACCACCATCTAGGACAGCAAGTGAGATTTGCAAAGTGATTATAGTAAAAGCTTACATAAATTTAGGCAAACTACCTTTAAATTCAAGCTACAGTTTATTCCAATTCTCTATCACAATTGTCAGCATACCAACATCAGTTGCACTTTACTTTTCTGTCCCTTCTCTTAAACCTCTCTACTGCAACGGAACTATCAGAATAAATATAGACTATTTCATGCAAATTTTTAATCTTACAAGCAAAGAACAGCATTTTAATTTATTATAGTTTTGTCACTAACACATTAAGTTCAGCTTATCACCCATATAAAAGCTAGGCCACTAAAATGCTTCAAGAACAAACATTTATCAAAATTATTGTCTGCATTTATCCTTACATTTTCTGCAGGAACACCAGAGAGTTTGGAAAGTGATTCACACAGATCTGAGATGGCCCCCATCATTGGCACCACAACCCGGTACTAGAAACAAAAATAATGTTATATTTACACCAGGCAAAATAAACCCATACCAGGCAGACAGCAAGAAAATTGAAATAAAATCTTAAAACTCTTAAATCTTTAATTTACAGGAGTTCTGCTGAAGTTAAGGTCACAACCACACACTTGAAGGCCTCCTGGATCTCAGCTTTGCCTTACACAAAGCAGGGATTTGGAGGGAATGAAAGCCATGAACAGCCTTCTGCTGTGATCAGGCTCAGCAGTAGTAAAACCCAGGAAAACACATAATCACCAGACACAGCAGCTTGCTTAGAACATAAAATTGTTGGCTTTTTCTGTGATAAAAAACATCTTAGAGCCATTTTCTTCAATGCTGCTAAAGGTCAGGGCAAAAATCTTGACAGACATGGAAATACTGCCCATCAGCTCCTTCAAAACTGCATCAGGACAGGTCATCTCACCACAGGAAGCCACTTCCAGCTGACCATGACCTTAGTCCCATGAGCTAAGGTTTTATAAAGTCACTTGATTTCACAGTTTTTATCACAAAACCCATACTACCTCACTCAGTGGTGGACATCAATATCCTTCAGATTACTTTAAGAGTCTCAATTTTAAAATCTAATAGAACTCAGATAACTTCAAAGAAATCTGTGTCTGGAGCATGCCTCACCTGGACAGGTCTGCGCTGTGGGTCTGCATACACCAGGGTAACTTCCATGAGCCGGTCCCTCCTCAAGGGCAGTGGGAGAGTTAAGTAACAGAAGGGATCAAAGGTCACAGAAACTTTAGAGCATTTGGGACAAACAAGGGTAGACTTGAAAAGACCATGAAAAATATCCACAATGATGGAATCATTCCTCAGCCTATGGTTCTCCCATGCCTCTTTTGCCACCTCCTATAAAAGCAATTTAAAAAAATATATTAGAAGTTATTTCTTACAAAGATTTCTACAGTGGGTTGAGCACTAGGACCAAAGAAAACTTGGAAATTGATACTGATAGGTCAGTTTCAGAGGGAAGGAGCACTACCAGTATGTGTGTGTCCAGCATCACACACTGAGATTTCTTCTCCATGAAATTAAGGCCTAGCATCAAGTAAAATTTAATCTATCTGTACTAGCTCAGTTTGATCAGGTATTCCTTGGTGCACACAATACCAGAAGCATGAACAGAGCTGAGGGGACAGTGACAGGGTCACATGGTGCTCAGGACAACCAGGTTTGCCCCACTCTCCAGAAGGAATGGAGTGCTACCCGTTGCTTTGGAAAGGCAACTGCAGTTACAGCTTTCAAGAAAAAAACAGTTTTTTGTCTTGGAAAACAATGGCCATGTTTCAAAAAGACAGCCTAAAAGGAGACAAATTACAATTCCTTGAAGGCCTTCACAAGACAACTTATAAAGTCCTTACCAAAGGGCATCTGGCATTTGTCTATTCAATCAGAGGCAAGCAGAGGCTGCTCTTAGCATGAGACTTTTAGTCTCAGGAAGAAAACTGAAAACAAGAGACTTATTTGGCCTCTATCAGGTAAACCCCATAAGAGAATTACTTTTCTCTATTTAGGTAGAGTGCCACAAGGCATGACAAGGCTGTCCTGTGCCAGGGACACTGCTCTGTGGGAAGGATGTTTGCATGGCCTGTGAGCAGGAAGGCCAGGAAGTGTCCCAGAACCCAACTAAATGCCCTGGGAATCCTTAAGCAAAGGACACTGTACCGAATCAGGCCTGCCATTGGCATCCTTCAGCTCCAAGTAGGGCTTCTTCTTCACTCTGTTCAAATCCTCATGCAAGCCATCCAGCAGAAAAGCCAAGAGCTCCTGGGAATCCTGCTGCTGGTATCCTGAGAACTGAGGAGCAAACCGCCCAACCTGTGTCTGAAACAGCAAGGCAAGAGTGAGGGGATACAGAACACTCAGGCTGTGGCTTGGGCAGAGCTCAGCTCACCACCACCTTCTGCTGGCAGCAGGCCATGGAGAACTGGATGCTAAAGCAGGGAAAGGTGCCAGAACCATTTCCCCAGCTACTTTCAGTATTTCAGCTGAAAGTAGCTCTCCACACTGAAGCAAAGAGAACATTACACCAATAAACAAAGTTATAGACAAGGGGAGGTGTTTTGATGTTCACTTCATAATTTAAATACTTAGATTTGTAACTTGCACACCTTTTCTCACTGACCAAAGTTCACAGCTGGCAATTCATATGACCTTGTCTAGTTTTGCAGCAAAGATCATTCTGATTCATCTGTAAACAGCCCTCAGGCTGGGAGGTCATTTACTAAGTAGCATTAAAGAGCAGCAGCAAACTCTGAGGAAAGACACTGCTCACTGACAAGTTCCTCCCTGTACCCCAAAAAACATTCACAAACAATGAAACACTGGAGCAATTCTGTCCCTATTGCCTTCATAACATCAGAATATGTGGCAGGCACGTTAGCTTTCACTGTTTCTTCTGTCCCAGAGCTGTGCTACAGGAACATGACACGCTTACTTTGAACATCCGTGGGGCCACGTGAGACTGTCTCCCAGACCACATCTGTTTAATGAGATCTGCATAGGCTTCTGCGATTTCTCCCCTCATCCCCAGTGGGTTGTTCTGATTTATTTCAGCTTCATATTTGTCTTCCAGGAAGTAGTCAGTCAGAGGAGGAGTATTGCTCAGGCACTGAGAAAGGATTAAGAAAATTAATTTACTGCACGGGACAATAGATTTGTGTGACAATGAAACAACAAAACCAACTTTCACATCAGAACATCTACCAGGTTAAGAAAACTGGTGAGGCTCAAGAGCTTGTTTAGTAAAACAAAGAAAAAATTAAGGCAAAGATCTGCATTTGAAAGACTGATATCTAGAAAATGAAAGCATAATGGTAAATACAAGAAAGTAATTGGTCCTTAACTAGTTTGCATGATAAACTAAGACTGAAGTACATTTGATTTAAGTCACTTGGATAACAAAAAATTTTAAAGTTGTCTCTTAGCTAAGTCCAAGAAAACAGAGTGGCTTAAGGACCATGACACAACTGAAAATAAAGTCAGGTTGGATAAAAAGCAGGGCAGCCCACGTTTATTGTGGTGTCCTGAATACCATGTGCATAATGCATTAGTTATTTTAAGACCTGTTCCAGATTTCAAAGCCATCACAGAGTGACTGAAGTAATTTCACAGCTTCACAAACCAGACTAGAAGTTTGCCCATTCCTTAAATCAAAGTTCATACAATTTCTCGTATTTTAACTTCTCAGCAAAAAACTACCCCTAGCAAGTTTTTGCATTCTTTAAAATGAATGGAAAAACTTGCTAAATTTCTTAATCCTAAGAAATTAAGTTCAAAAGTAAAGAAATAATTATTAACCTTGCATCACTGTTTCATTCTTAACACCTTGCACAACGAACCTGAACCCTTTCTGTAGCCTTTCATGCTCTTCATTTTTCAAGAATCTTTAACACAGGCCCAGAACTGCACACAATGACCTGCTCATGTCACTTGTGCAGCCCACACAAGTCAAAACATCCTCCACGTCGGACATTTTTGGCAGGGCACAGCACTGGGACCTCATGTTACAGTCAGGCACCTGTTCAATGCAGCTTCCCCTGGCCATTTCAAATGCCACATATTTCAGATTCAGTCCCTAACACTGTAATCTGTTTTACAGTACTAATGAGCTAAACATAATTTTTTGGTCTGTTTATCTTTGAGGTGTAATCTCCCCATGGAATCACATTAAATATTCTTTTCTTTTCACAGATTTTAATTCACAATATTTATGAGACTGATCTTTTATTTAATTCTAATGGGGGCTCTTTCTAATTCTTACCTGTAATGCAGAATTCATGAAGCAGGTGTTTCCAAGGTTACTGAGTCCACAGAGTCCAGGTTGTGAGAGGGAAGCACTGTCCCTGCAGTTGTAAGAGTTACAGACAAACCCAGAACCTCTGCAAGAAAAGACAATACAGTGAACTCCACAATGAGTTTGTCAAGTCTCACTACTATTTAAAAGTCACATCAAATACAAGTCAGAAAACTGTTTACTGAAATTTTTTCATCAGGCTACCTGTTTCTGCTGCTTCATAGGGGCTAATGCTGAATACCAGGAACAAAATGTACGTGCTAACTTTGGAAACATTAATCCTTACAAAGTCTATTATTGATTTATGGTTCATAACACATTCATTTCCTCTGTCTGTAAGTAAACAGCACACTACCCTAACACAGCAAGAGTCTATATAATGCACTTAAAGAAATAATAAGAGAATTATGATCTGTACCTGGAAGGCTTCTACCACAATGGCAGATAGACAAAAGAATATAATCCCTTCCCTCATGCTCTGAGTCACCTCACAAAACAGGCAATGCTCTGGTAGTTAGTAAGCTCTGGAACATGCACTACTTTTGCAAGCCAGCAAGGAACAGCAGAAGGCAGTGGTTTCAAAAAGCCAAGGTTGATAAACAGGTACACAAGAATAGTAGAACTCCTCTAGGGCACCATCACACTCCTTTTCTATACATGCAAGGATGCATGGGATCACTCACATGAAGGGTGACAAAACAAACAGAACATTCCTGCTCTTACCCCCTGCCCAGGTGGGAGCTGTTCAGTCCATAGGAGTTACTGCTATCACCGTTAGTAATGACAGAAGTGGCAGACACTGAGGAATAAGAACTTGCTGATGATTTTGAAGAGGTAGTAAAGTTTCTGCTAGTTGCAGTGCTTGATCTGGGAGAAAGGAAAAAGAAGCAGAAACAGTGCTACTACTTTCTTTGTCCCCAGTCCCACCTCCCACAAAACTCCAAGGACTTGCTGAGCTATAGTTAGTTACCCCACACAGAATTTACTGCTTTAATGTGTTTGATCACATTTCCAAACAATTGTCTGGAACAGAAATACCAGGAAAAAAGTACCAGAAGCAGGAGCAACAATTATTGCTTAAAGGCAAATCTGGGTCCCAGACAGAAATAAGTAGCAACTCAGTGTGAGTGAGAGGGAAGCAAGCTTAAATTTATGAGTAAACCACCTTGAAATAAGCAAGCAAAACCTCCCAAATCTTAAGACCACAGAACACTCAACCTGCATTAAAAAATGACCAGGTCAGTCCTTCCCTACCTGAAACTCAGACCATCTATTCAAACACAACATTAATCAGGAAGAAGACAACCAACAAGGCACTAAAGTTTAACAGTGTCCTGTCATAGACAGTTCCATTAAAAAAAGGCAAAACCACAAGACAGTACTAATTTTGACACTAATTAATTTCTCAATAGTAAGAGTTGACTGGGATTTGGTCTAATCTCTCCATCTCTGCCCAAATAAACGCACAAAACCAAAAGTAAAAAGGTGCAGGACACCAACAGCCACAAAACAATGGCTACTAGCCCCAAACTAGAGCAGGGAGCCAGCAGTGGATAGGGCTCTCAAGCTTCAGCTTGTCCATTTATTCTTTTTTATTGTGGCCCTTGTTTTCAAAGGATATTCATAATTCAGATGGCACTAAAAAAATGTTCCGGAAAACCTCAGTGGGAAAAAACTATACAACAATGAACCAGCCATAAAGGCCATGACAAGGCAGAACAGCTGGACAGCCTCAACAGTTTGGAAATATAATAGCAGTAAAATAAATACAGAAGTAAACAAGTTACAGGAGGAGCTTCCAGATGAAACTGGAAAACCCCAAACACAGTCAAAACCTGAAGCATGCTAAAAAACCTCACCAGCCAGCACAACAAAAAAGTATACAGGAAAGTATCCTGGAAAGAATGAGATCTACCAGAATAACTGAGAGAACCATTTCTGGGACAATACACAACATTCTGTTGTTCCATGCTGGAGGTGGAACTTCAAGATTACCTGGACACCAAAGTAAAATCAATGGGAAAGCAGAAGGTCTGGACTATAGAACAATTATCAGACTCATGCTCCTATGTGTGGGTTCCAAGGGTCAAGAATAAAACAATTTAGGTAACAACACCATGTAAATCCATTAAGAACACATTTTAAAAGTCTGAAGTAGTGAATTATCTAGAAGCAAAGGGAAGCAATCTAGAAAATGATAGACTTGAGAACTAAGCATCTCTGCTTCACACATTTGAGCTCCCAGAGAGAGAAACTCAGAAAATCATAAGAAGAAAATCTACTGGTGAAAAAGGAAAATGAGGACAACCTCCTAAGGGATTTCAAGGTTTCCAACAGAAGCATAGAGACAGTGTTTCATCAAGAGTCACATGGCAACTAAAGAGTTCCAAGTACTTCAACAGCATCCTACACAAACAAAAAAAAGCTAAGAATTATAAAGGAAGATAAAAAAACAGATCAGAAAGCAAAGGTAAGACACAAGTCACAAGTCAAGAGTCTTTTCACAAAGGGAAAAGTCTGCCCACAAAGTCATCCAGGATCTTGAGCAAGTTCCAGCTAGAAAACTGGGAAGGTTCATGTAAGTAGCAAAACAACAAGAGAGGTTAAGAGCTCTCCATATGAGAATAAAAGAACAGAAACCAAATGTATTTGGGAAGATAAAGAATTCTACATACTCCTACATTTTAGAAATTACTCATCTGTGTGTAACTACTGAAGAAAGGATTTCCTAAGGACAGCTGCTTCCCCTCATTTCACAAGATGTTCACAAAGCAGTCATTGATTGCAGGTGAAGGGCACAGAGAGCAGCTAAGGAAAACATTTTTCTCTGAAACCTTCCCACTTTAAGCCTGGAAAGCCATTGTTAATGACCCCCCAGTACTGCAGGCTCTCAAGGACTGCCTCATTCACACACAGTGACAACAGACAACCTGGATGCCAACTATTTATTCCCAATGCCACAAAAAGGGTTTCTGTGGAACATGCAGACTGACTGGTCAAAGGCATCTGCCCTCTCTATTGCCATCTCTCTCCCAGGATGTGACTTCTGCTCCCTCAGAAATGGAGGCCCCAAGACTTTGCTCTGAAGTAAGAGAACAAAGTTATGTCATCTTTGAAATTTGTGACTTGGAACTTTCCAAAATGCTCTGGCCTACTCAGTGGGTTACCACTGAAACCCAACTTCACCTTCACAACACTGGAGCACATTGTCCCCATCTGCAGGTAAAGGCAGCTGCTTTGTCCTGCTACAAAACCTGCCAAAAACCCACACAAACGGCAAGTGAGGAGAAATCTGGAGACTTACAGGACAAAGAGGATAAAATCAAATTACTCTGAGTTCATATGGTTGTTAGGTAAAAAAACCTCCTAAACTAAACAACTTGAAAAGTATTGTAAAAGGCTTTCAGGTGGTTGAAAGGCACAGATAGAAAAAGTGATTCAATTCAGCTGAGTCCACCTTCAGAGCAGTAGAGTCAGTCTCCTCCTTTACACAAGCAATAATAAAATAGTGATTTAATGACAAAAAGGTTTTGTTAGAGCCAGATTAGCTGGGATTTTGTTTAATTGACAAAGCAGAGGCGGTAATGGATGCTCATTTAGAAAGTTCTTACATGCAAAAGCCTCCAGAACTTATGTTACATCCTCAGGGCTCCTCTGCAAGCCTGGCATCTGCTGCAAACTCAAGCACTTCAAAGTCAGAGAATAAAGATCTGCACACTAAATATTTAGCCCAGTTGCTGAGGGAGTCCTCTGAAATCACACAGTGCCAGCACACAGTGCCATGAGTAAACAGAGGAAGAGGAAATAACAGGAAAATTCTAGCTCCAACCTAAGAACCAAAAGGTAATTTACTGCTGCATGTTGCAAAGGGAGAGAGATAGCTACCAGGCAGACACCAAATACAACTTCACTTCAGTTTTCAAGTACAATCCCTGGTGGAAAAGGTGTTATTTGCAAGAACTAACACAACTTCTTGTTTGCCTTTGCTAAAAAAAATTATATCCAGGATGAAAAAAAAAAGTGTGCTAGGGCTGAAATGGAATTCTGCTAGTTCAGGACTTAATTTGGGAGTCCTGTAAGTAACAATTTAAGAGTACTAAATTCCACAGAGCCATTGATATAATCTCCCTTCAGAAACAAAGTATGCCTTTAATTTTGAAATTCCTAGAATAAGTAAAATCCATTCCCCCTTCTGAAACTTTGTCCAGAAGTAAAAGCAGTTTCAAACTACAGTAAGGAGAAACTATTTTGTTCTTTACCCACAGCAGTGGCCAAGCACAGGCTGAATATACCACCCAAGGACTGCTGTGGAGTTTAAGAGCATTTTTCCTGTAAAATGTCAGCCAGATTGATGGCTGGGGAAACACAAGGACAGCTGCCAAACCTGTGGAAAAGCTATTTCCTCTGCTAGGGGGCCAGTGCCTCTGACAAGCAGCAAATGGTGAGGAAAAATCCTGATGACACAGAACCACCCAGCCCATGGTCACTTTGCAGCCACCCTCTGAGTAGGAAGGATATGAACTCCCAGCCTGCCAGAACCTCTCCTGGCACTTGGGCAGTTATGCAGGTGCTCTCCATTTCTCTATCAACAGCAGGGAGCTCTACATTCTGTTTGGTTGATGTCATCAAAACTCTAAATTCAGGAAAAACTCCCTCATAAGCTTTCAGTAATAAACTGGTGCAGCCCAGGAAAAACAAAGCTCCAAATATTAAGATCCCCATGTATTTTCTGGAGCTGAGAAATAGAACACTAAAGCAAAATCTTGCCTGAGATAGGACGAAGCACAAGACAAAGCACAAAAGAACATATAATAATCCTTGTATCACTTAATACACTTCTTTCAGCCACCATTATAAGCATCAAGTCATTTTCACAAGTTTCATGCTATAATAAGTAAGTATTTTTATGTCATTAGACAATAGTAATCTACATACCAATTCCCACTTTCATTTATCTATCACTAGAGGTCAAAATCAAAGCCTTTACATATCAAAGTAGCTGCTGATAAAGGACTACTGTGAGGCCTGAGAATGCTACACAGCTCCTTTTTAGCTTTGCTTCATGTAGAAACAAAAGGTTATGGCTGGTCTTGCACAGCTGCCTCTCCCATACTGACTTCAACCAGGTACATGATATGAATGTTTAGTTGCTTTTCACATGGCAATTCTATAGAAATTTCAGTGTAGTAAGTATCATCTCTCAAAGTACTGGTTCAGAAGAGGTTTTGCTGACCTATCTAATCAACTCTTCAAGTTTAACACTAGTGTATCTTGATTTCAAATGAGATCACTTGGCCTCAAGTTCTGTAAGTGAACTGTATTGTACAGAAAAGCATTTTCTTTCTCAATATCAAGTCTGATGGCCTCTGGAATGGCATCAAGTAGGCATCAGACAGGGGAAGTCATCAAATTCTACTTTCTGTAGCAGGACTTGATATGAGCAGTTCCTTATCATTGCAACTTCCATTCTACACCATTCACTCTATACACATCATATTTCACCAAGCCCTGCAATTACCTCTTCTCTAAATCAGAGAGCACTGAGGCAATCTGTGTCACATTTACAGGCTTCTGTAATTGTCTTTTGTGGGAGGGGTGTTGGTCACCTATTTCTATACCCTTTTTAAGGGGGAACTACTAGAACTCTGAGCATTCACTACTGGCAGGTTTGGGAATACATTCCAAGATCCTTTCTGTTCTCCAACAGCAAAGGAGAGATTATTTATTTCACTGTGCAGTGTGCAGAGGTAGCTTTTTAAGCACACTAGCTCAACACAAATAGCACTTTTGCCTCCTAAGCACTATAAAAACCCTAAGCTATTTAATCCTTATACAACCTGTTTGAAACAGGCTTTAAAACACACTCTTGCTAAGAAAAGAAACCAGCAGCAGAACCGCTGAAGAATGTTTATATTTGAGATTTTTCTCTCCTTCAAAATAACCAAAACAAAGCAAGCCACAACAGCCAGTGATAACCAGGCTTTCAGAGAGAACATGTGGTCACTAAAGCCTAGCAAACAAGCTGCACAAAATAACAGAAACCTTTAGAACATGCTTGCTTACTTTGCCAGGCAATGCTGTCCAGGCCACGTGCCATCTTCATTTTTCACTTCTATTAAAACAACCTGAAAGAGAGTGCAGGTAATAAAGGTAACTGCAAGTCTGTTACACATTTTGCAAAAGCATTAGCAAATCCCATTGTCAATGTTTGCTCAAAGTACATAAAAGCAAGTGAAAAAAATACACATCAGCAAAAGCACTGCATGACACAAAAAAAAAAGAGAGAGAAAAAGTTATGCCCCTTACCTGACCCTGATAGAGCCCTGCATCTTGCACTGTGCTATCCAGCTTGCTGAGCTGCTCATAAGTGTTACTCATGTATCTGTTCCATAGCCTGGTTTCCTTCTCAGCTGGGATATTGAATAGTTTTCTCATTTCTTTCTCAATGGTAGCTGTTCAGGAGAAAGTAAAAACACCAAAATTCCTAAAACATGAGTGCTTTTGGAAAAACACTAAGACATTCTTTCAGCAAGGAAGTACATCACTTATCCTTCAAGATCCTTCAAGCAGAAAATGTATTTTGGAAGTTATAATTGCTCATGTAGTTTGTCAAATATTAAGTCTGAAAAAATGAAAAACTTTTGTTTTCAGTCATGTATTTGCCTGTCAAGCCCTCAAACCAGTAACATGCAGAACACTGAGAACTTTCTGCCCAAAGGCCAACTTCTCTTCATCAGAAAACAGAGGCTCAAGTTTTCAGTTACTACTGTCAAGCTGCCCATAAAGATGCTGTGCTGGTTTTGCATGGCCTGCTCTTTGGTAGTGGGACAGGCCACAGAGGTGGCTCCTGTGAGGAGCTGCTGGAAGCTTCCACCATGTCCAGCAGAGCCAATCCCTGATGGCTCTGAACATGGACATGCTGCTGGCCAAGGCTGGGCCAGTTAGAGAGGGTGGTAATGACTCTGTGATTACATATTTAAGGAGAAAATCAAAAAAAACGGCACACAGTTGTTTCCTAGTCAGAAAAGTGGAGGAGGTGAGAACATGTGAGGGAAACAACATGGAGACACCAAGGTCAGTGGAGAAGGAGGGGGAGGAGGTGCTGCAGGTGCCAGAACTGAGATTCCTCTGCAGGCTGTGGTGAGACCAGGGTGAAGCAGCTGAGCCCTGCAGCCCATGGGGATCCACCCACAGCCCCTGGGGATCCACAGAGATCCACCCACCATGCCTGGAGAAGGCTGTGATCCAGTGGGAGACCCAGTGGTGAGAGAAGGCCCTGCTTCCAGGCTGGAGCAGCCTGTCCTTGGAGGACTGCACCCCGTGGGAAGAGAGCCCCACATTGCAGCAGTTTTGGGAGGATTGCTGCTCATGAGATTGGACCCACACCAGAGAAGGTCATGGAGAGCTGTCACCCATGGGAGGGACCCCACAGCCCCACAGGGGAAGGGTTCCTCTCCTGGAGCAGCAGAAGAAAACCTCAGATGATAAACTGACCAAACCCCCATGCCCTGTTGGTGGGAAGGAGGGAGGGGCTGGGGGAAGAAAAGGTGTTTTTAAGGGCTTATTTTTACTTCTCATTATCCTCCTGTGATTCTGTTAGTAATAAACTCACTTTATACCCCTAAGTTGAGCCTGTTTTGCCCTTGCAGTGTTTTCTCCCAGTCCTTATCTCAACTGATTAATGCTTCATTAATTTTCTTCTCTCCTCTGCCCAGCTGTGGCAGGGGAGGGTGAGTGAGCACTTTTTGAGGGTGCCTGGCACTTGGCCAGTGTCATATCACAACAGATGCTTTCTTCAGTTTAGTACTGTAGATACAGGACAGCTGACATTCAGCATTTCAACATGTGAAAAATATAGCAATGAGAGAGAGAGAGAGAGAGAGAAAAGTCAGATTTGCTCCAGTCTGGAGGTTCTGGAGGGCAGAGATTATCTCCTGAGACAGCCTCAGAGCACAGCTTTATCTATCAGAGAACTACTTACCAACAGTATCTGCCTTGCTGAAGTGGCAGCTGATGACATTGTCGGGATCGCTGCTCTCGCACAGCTTCAGCTCCAGGAGATAAACCTCGACCTTATAGTGCTTCACAAAGAGCCCATACTCCACCACCTGCACACAGGGAACGAGGCAACACAAAGCTGCAACACTGAGCACTCCTCTGAAGCACACAGTTCTAAATGCTGTCAGCCTTTTGGAGTAATGAGAGTCAAGCCATAAACTGAACACTGATTGCTCCTAGATTCAGCCACCAGCTTGTTTGGGGGGGTTTGTTTGGTTTTTAAAATGGGAAATCCCAGTGCTTTCCTTCCACAATGCAAAGTTCCAGAGATCCATATCACAGCTGAACTGATAGTGTCAGCTAACCACTCATGAAAAATACTTGATAACACAAAGCATTCTAGAAGAAAATTACCTTTTATCTCTAGTCTTTGGTTAAGTTTTATAAAATAATTAAATCAGGCTGGAACAGTGGAAAAAAATCTCTTCTACCAGAAGAGAGCAAGCCAAAGCATTAATTATTTTTTTGCACAGTACACAGAACCTGCCTCAATACTCTCTCCTAGCAAGAACAGAAAAGTACCTCTGAAGTTGTTTGGATGACACTGCTTTATTTCACAGTACCTTTCAAATCAATTTTGCATTTGAGAGAATATTCCAATAGGTACATTTACTCATGACACTAGCTTGCAGCACATTTTTTAAAAATCTTCCATAAAACTGGACACCATTCTTCACCTACAGATCATAAAACACATTATGCCAGAAAGAAAAGCACAATTCACAGGCCAGTTATGAGACAAGTGCAATGTAATAGGAAGAACAAGAAAAAAAAGAAAACCCCACACCTCAATTCTCTCCAGAGTGCTTGGCAGCTACAAAGCTTCTGAAAATGAGAACATATTTCCTTGAAAAAGCTGGCATAATTTTTAAGAGTAACAGTGAAAGGCATTTGGACAATGCCCTTAATTTGCTTTAACTTTCAGTCAGACCTGAATTGGTCAGGCAGTTGGACCAGATGATTAAGTCCCTTCCAACTGAAATAATTCATTCTATTCCTGTGACACCAGACTTGGTATGATCTACACCTAACATATTACAGAAAAAACTACCCAGCTTTGGAAAGAAACCAAGAATTAAGACCTAGACATATAGTGACAATTCCACTAAATTATGCTTCCATCTTCTGAGGATTGTTGCTTTTAGAAGGTTGTATTAGACATGCAAGGTGCTTTAAAGGTAAATAAATAAACACATTTGGAAAGCTCTTCAGTACTTTGCTGTTACAACAGAAAGTAAAGCTCCCTGTTTAAACAGCTTCTTGACAGGCAGAGCAGACTTGTTTTTAGGAAAGGAAAAAAACTAAGTCAAAAGTTTTCCATTTATTTTTCAGAATAAATGTCACTAAACATGACTTCCTGTTCTCCAGTATTCTGTAGTTAGAAACAAAGAAGAGCCATATTCAGAAAAGAAAAGAACTCTTTCCAAGAAGTTCCTGATCAGATCATTGTGTCCATTAGGATGGAGGAATGGAGTCTCTAATCACCTGCAGATGTCTTTTAAACTGCGTCTGACCAGCTTCCTTGTTCCCTGCCAAAGTACAGCTCATGTCATGCCACTGCACAGCAATCTCAGCACAACTCAGCTGCTGAGGAAGCACAGTAATAAACCTTCCCACAGGACTCTATAGATGACTGCCCAAAAATATGGTCTGAGACTATCAAAAGAAGCTGAACCACAAATAAATCAAGTCTAATCCTCCTGTACTTGGCTCTGATCATCAAACACAGAGATGGAAGAAATATCTTTTAAAACCATAAAGATGCCTGTAATTCACTTCCCAGATCCTACTTTTATGGATATTTTTATGTATGAATTATAGTTGATCCATCTTTAGGAAGTCTTAAGGCACTCAAGGACCACAAGTTTAAGTGCTTGACTTTTAATGCTATCTGGGGAATACTGTAACCAGATCCTGCCCACATCCTACTCAGGTGCTGCAGTGCAGCTTCTGTGTCTCACTGACCTACTGGATTTTTGTAAGATGCTGTTATATCCCACAAACCTACTATACTGCTATATTTTAGCATCTTCTTAAATATAAAAACCCTCTTCAGTTATCAGGTTAACAACAGAGACTGACAGTTTCATAGCAATTCAAAACTTGAAAAATTTACTCTTAACTAGACCCAGAATAACCTGGCATGTTAGGTCTGTAAATCAGCACAAGCTCTGAGCTCAACCCCCTTGGTAATTGCACCATTGAAAACAGCATCAGACACCACAACAAAAGAAGGCTCATGCAGTTAAGCCCAAGATTTCCCCAATAATTCCCAAATCTCCTGTCAGATTTCACATTTTTCAGAAAAGGGAGTGTGCAATGACATGCCAGGTTTTGTGACAGCAATCAGCCAGCTCAGGAAGGAAAGCTCCCTCACTTGGAGAGGCACTGATCACTAACAGCACCAGTTCTCCCTCTCAGCACACACTTGCAATTCCTCAAGATGTTACATGTTTCTCTAAAACCACATCTCCTTTACATGCTGTAATTATTTTCTCCTCTCCTGCTTCTTGCTTCCATGGGAGTTCTGTCGACTCAGCTGAGTGAACCTGAGGTAACCAGGTGATCCTGGGTTAACTCACCAGTCCTGAAGACATCAGAATTTCTTACTCCCTGCAATTTCTAGCCCACACTGAATGACAACATTCCAGCACTTCCTGATCTTACTTCCCTTCTGGTGCCACACTAGCTAGGTCTTGCACACCTTGAAGTAACCCTTACTCACAACACAGTGCTGCTTAAACATAAGTGATGCTAATTCCATCCATTATGTCAACACTTGGTGTAGTGATTAGTTACTTAATGAGCCCCACACAGTGGCATTGCTCAATTTAGTCAGTACAATTGGTTAAAACTAAAATAAAAACAAAAAACCTTTTACCTATACACTTTCCAAAAAAAAAAAAAACATCCAAAAAAAAACCCCAAACAAAACGAAAACAAACACTTGTCAATTTCACCCTACAGAACAGGTTATGTAGTCAGAATGCATACCTGACTGCATTTGTCAACCAAAAACATGACTAACAGAACAAAACCATATATCCATCTCTTTATAAAGATTTTAGAATCACACCATTTTGGAAGAGAAAATAAGAATCACCTTACACTCCAGAGGAAGCCCTTAATCCATCTGTACTAAAAGACTCATTCTGTCCTGGAAGATAAACTAGTTTGACCAACAACTTATACTTGTCCACAAAGTACACACTATTCCATGCAATATAAAAGCACTGTACTAGTCCAAAGAATCATAACCTGAACAAGGTTGAGGGTTCTTGTTGCAGATAAACCATCAACTCAGAACCCCTGAACATTCAGGCATTTTGGCTGAAGTACAAGCAAGTTGTTCTTTCAGACAAGGCAAAAAGATATGACGTTATTATCTCCAAAGAGCTACTGAGAATCCTGTCTTAGCTGACATCTGGCAAAATAAACCGTTTACGCTTGATGGAGATCAAAAAATGAAACCAGGAGGAGAAGTTGATTCAGCCATACTTACTTTCCTTACAATAGGCTGCTGTCCGTCTATACAGCCGTACCACGCTACTAGTTTGTTCCAGGCTTCGGTGGGCACCAGCACGTAATCCAGCTCATCAATGAGGTGTTCTTTCAAACTCTGAGTTTGCGGATCTAAAAGGGAGACAGACGGCGGAGAGCAGGGCATCAATCAGCGCCTTTCCTTCTCCAGAGCCACACACGTACTGCCGGGACACCGAGGAACAGCAGCGCTCCCGGGGAGGCAGAGCCGGGCCGGTCCCCTCACGCCCAGGGCGGTGCGGCCGCGCGCCCTCTGCAGCGCCCGGCTCCGAAAGCGAAAGCAGCGCGGGGAAGTTCCCGGCCGAGCCCGAGCCGCGGCCCCGCTGCCCGCAGCACTCACCGCCGAACAGGCCCGAGTTGTCGATGGGCCCCGGGAACAGGCCCGCGTTGTCGACGGGGCCCGGGAAGAGGTTGGGATCGCCGGCGCCGAACATGTCCCAACTGTCGAAGCCCACGTACTTCTTCCATTGCTTGAACCACCGGCTCTCCACCAGGTACCTGCAACACACGGCACCGCCCGGCGCGGCCCCTCAGCGGCGGCGCGGCCCGGCCCGAAGGCCCCGCCGCCCAGAGGGGAGGGGGACGGGGAGGGAGGGGAGGCGCGGGTGTGCTCACCAGGACTCGCCGGGCCGGAGGGCCGTAGCCAGGAGCGGCCCCAGCTCGGCCCGCTGCTCCGCCGGGTCCGGCCGGGCCCGTTCCCCGCCGGCCGCGGCCGCCGCCATGTCCATGCGCGAGACCCGGCGCGGGCGGAGGTCGGAGCGCGCGCGAGCGCGCGGGCGGGCACGCGCTGGGCGAGTGGGAGGGACCCGCCCCGCCCGCGCGCGCTCCGTGACGGGGTGGGCGGGGCCGCGCGCCCTATGGCGGCGGCCGCCATCTTGCGACGGCACCGTGAGGGCGCTTGGGAGGGTGGGGTGGGTGCTGCGCTGAGCTGAGCGCCCGTACTGGGGCTGCAGGGGGAGCCCGGGGTGCAGGAGCACTCCTCCCGCGGGGATAGACCTTGTCCCCGAGGGAGCTTCGTGGTCTAGAGGGCTCCCGGGCCAGCCTCTTTGAGTGCTCAGATAAAAACACTTCTGCGAACACTGTGCTCCCTTCCGCCTCTGCGGCAGCACCAGCCCAGCCTTCCCCAAAGCTGCCAGCCCGCTGCTCTGGGCTCCAGACACCGTGTACTTCACTGTCTCAGCAAGAATCTCCTCCCTGAATTATGGCTCAGTAGAGATCGAACCCAAGCTGAAACCTTTAGCTCTTCATAAAGATTTTATTTTTCTCTCTCTCTGTCAAAACTGGTGGCAGAACCATTTGGTTGGACTGTGGTTTCAGTTTTAGATGCTTCATTTTCTGACGTGGGGCACACTGGTGAGGGCGTTTGACTTCAAATTGTTGTGGGAGTAAGCGGGAGAACGGGTGTGTGAGACCGACTGGAGAGTGCTCGGGAGGCTGGGCACTGTCTCAGGAGAGAGCTGCTCCAGGAGACTCCAGCATTGATCCCTCGAGTACCATGTCCTGTCCTTGAGAAGGAGGGCTCTTGGGAAGAATTCAAAAAATCTGCCTTAAACGGATGCACCAAAGAAATCCCTTTATATTATGTGAAAAAAGGCGGGGGTGCTGTGGCTGCCTGTGCCAGGAGCCTTCTGGCAGCACCATGGGCAGGTGGGCTCTGCCAGCCTGGCACTGCTGCAGCAACCAGGGTAACGTGATAAAAGCCTTTTATCTTCCTGACAGCAGGGCAATTCCATTCAGTTAACGCTGAAAGAACCATTTTCTCCTTCCAGTAAGAGTTGAGTGTTGTTACTTCAGTTTTTCTCAGAGGGCAGGGCCCCTTCGGGCTCTAACACACCCTATTATGGCAAGGCTGGGTGTGTTTTTAAAATGAGTCAGCTATTCTGAGATAGTGCTTGGTGGCTGACCTCACTCTGCTAATGAATTACTGACTCCTCATAGAAAGTGTGGTAAACAATTAAATGGTTTAATTCAGGCCTTTCTGATTCAGTGCAAGAAAATTACATTGTTCCAGTTTCACTGTAGACAGAGGTGTCTGTGTTCTCCAGGCTCCTCAAGCACTTTCAGCCATGGACTTCTGTCCTGATCTCCAGCTCATCCCAATGGGTGTGAAAGTGGCACTAACAGCAGCAAAGCCTCCTCAAGTACCACAGGACTGAGGCAGGTGTTCCCAGCATGCCTTATGATGGCAATGATCAAACACAGACTGAAAGCTGCTGAGGAGAAAGGGAATTTAAATAGCGGAAAGAACCTTGTACAGGCTGAGTAAGAAAGATCTCAGACTCAGGCTGATGGCACTTCTGTTTAGTAGACACTTCTGAACACCACATCTCATCAGCCAGGATTTCAGCAGATAGCCCAGGGTTTGGTGGGCAGAACACTAGGGAATCTGGGTGAGGGAGAAAGGGCCAGAAAGGATAATTTTTTTTGAACTAGTTAACACTCCTGACAGCTTCAAATATTTGAACTTGTTTAAGTATTTAAGAAGTTGGCCGCCACTATCAGCAGCTAAAGGGGGGAAGAACCACTGGGAGGGGGGACAAGTAGGGGACAAACACTTTCTAGGAAGGAGAGAATATATGAAACTTTGATGTGCAGAAGAATGGAAAAACAGGAACACTAACAGAGGGATTAAGTGTTTGCAATTAAAGTGTTGTGTAGGAGTATATATGTGACAGACAGGAGATGTTGAAAGGACAACTTCCTCAAGCCACAGAAGCAGCCAATTTTGCTAAAGTAGTATTTATTTTAAGGTTGCCCTCTGAGTCAGTCTGTTTCTCTCTGGAATTACAGAAATAGAACTGGCTGATTTATAATCCCTGAAGAATTGCCTGGGATTCTTCATGCCTCCCCTCAGTACAGAGCTGCTGCCTGTGGTGAAATGTTCACCTCCTCTCATCACAACACCAGCCAAGGTTTGGGGTGAGAGCCTGTGTGGGGACCATGCTCCACTGCCCCTATCACTGCCAGGGAGCTCCAGCCAGTGCCCTCTGTGCTGCAGCCCACTGGACCTCAGAGCCAGCTGCTCCAGGGAATGCTGAAATGAGACTGGGAATAACAAGGCTGGGCAGATTTCAGCCACACTGCAAAGTTGCTGCTGGTGTGCCTACACTGGGATTGTTTGTTTTCCTGCTGGCATGGCTCATTTTGGTCCTGGAATCCTGTCACTGTGCTGCTTCTGGCACAGCTGGAGCTGTTGCTTTGTTTTTCTGCTAGCACAGCCCCAGCAGTCAGAAGGTAAATAAATCCCTTGGCCATAGGCACAGAATAAGCACAGTGCAAAGTGCAAGAGACCTTTTTCGGCATGATGGAGCTGCAGCAGGTGTTGGGCTCTGCTCCCTGTGGGCCTTGGCCAGAGCCAGAGACTGGTTAGGAACAGAGGAGGCCCCACTCAAACGCTCAAGTTTGGTGAGTCAGGAATGAGGAAGTGTCCCAGCTCACGTTGAGAAAGATTTTCAGTGCCCTAGGTTTCTGCTGCTCCTGATCCCCTGTACTTTCCACCTATTTCAACATCCTGCATTAATGAAGGAAGTAGAACTAACTGAAAACATAATCCCCTACACCATGCATCATCTGCTGCAAACCTTCAATAGCTGCTGAAAACATCCTGTTTTTTTCTATGAAGCTGTTCTGGGATTTAAGAAATCCCCCGGTGAGGATTGTGCAATCCGAGTTCAAAGCTCGATGACTCAGGGGTAGCAGCAAGCAGGGTGGTGCTGGTTGGAAGGTTTACCCAGTCTCTCCTCAATCTTGACAGATCCTTGGTACAGTAACAAAGCAACTGTGAATTTGTGAAGTGAAAAGCTACAAACAAGAATAAAACCCTACCAAACCCTCAAATCCTGAGTGTTTTTATTATGAAAACATGCATGAATGCTTGAAAGCATTATGCCTTCCCTTGGAGAGCCCAAGTTTTTAGTCTGGGTTAGGATTCCTCAGTCCCACACCAAGTTTATGCGTGGTGCTACAAGGCCTTGTGAGGAGTGGCTTGCAATGAAAATGTGCTCACAGAGCAATTGGAGGAGTGAACATTTTCCTGTAGAAGGAGTTGAGCTACTGGGCAGAAGGATGGCAGGTGAAATTTGGCAGAGGCTCATGATTTCCCATGGGAAACCAATCATAATTCCAGTCATTTAGCAGCAGCCTGTAAAACCAGGATTGCTGAGCAGGGCCGATATGTCAGAATTATTACTGAATCATAGAACCATTAAGGTTAGGAAAACCTCCAAGATCATTGGGTACAATTGTAGCAACTTCTCATTAAGTACTTCTCAGCTCCGTGGTTGCCAGGAGTCAAAAAACTGTTATGGAAGAAGTGAAAAGAAAAAGGAAATATTTCCTGGCAGATCTGCACTTGGGAGTATCATATGCAATTCCTGTGCCCAAAGGGAAACAAGGACACTGAGGCAAGGCACAGTTCCCATGGGCCAGGTGGTTGAATGGGGTGGTATTGCACTGGGAACATGAATAAACTGGTTTGTCACATGATTCCCTGCATCGTGAGGTGCTGGGGATGCACAAAGGTGCTTCGGTCTCATGGAGGGCTGGGCAAGCACATGAGGATCTGTGCTGGGCCACCACTGATGCAAAATGGGGTAGAGCCAGTGAGGGGGCAGTGGCTCAGGGACAAGGGGAGGGACAGTGGGTGCTGCTCCTGGTCTAGGTCCCCCCAGGCTGCAGAATCGCTCATCTCCCTGTTATCAGCCTGTTGTGGGCTGTTGCTGGTAGCCACACTGGGGATTCAGCCAGGGTAAAATCACCCCCCGGCCACATTCCAGTGTGTTCCCTCTGCACTGAAGCCTTAAGGGAGGCCCAGTGAGCACTGGGGCAAGGTCTGTTTGTTCCCCACCGCCCTCCCGCTCTGCCAGGCTTGTTACACATGGGGCAGGACATGGTACTGATTCACAGCTTGCAGAGCTCATGCTCTCCGTTTAGTTCAGCCTGACTGCACAGCCGTGCTCGAGTGCTCCAAGTCTGCCCCTGTGAGCACCCACATGGGCTGATGAACAGGTAACAGACCCACCACGTTTTACCCAACTCACCCAGATTTATCAAGCCACAGCCTTAAAGAAACTACACAATTTTTATTCAGAGAATCACAGTGAACTACTGAAACTCACAGCTGCTTGCCCTGGCATACCTTCCCAAACATTCCCGTGCAACTTTTGAAAACATCAGGCACACTTCAAGGATTTGGAAGATGCACCGTCACAAGCAAAATCTGCACGAGACATTGGGATTTCTGCCAAAGCAGCGGCTCCCTGCAACAAAAACAGCCAACAGCAAGGGCAAAGGGCAGAGAACTTTCTAGGCAACCTTCTGCAGAAGCAACTCAATGTCGTCCTGGATCTTGATGGTTTCGAAATGCCGGCTGTAGCGTTTGAAGGGGACGCCGTCGGGGCCAATGAGGAACTTCTCGAAGTTCCAGGAGATGTCATTGCGGCAGACCGGGGACCAGATGATGTACTGCGGGTTGGTCATCAGCGACGAGGGGTCGTCGTGCGGGAAGGGCAGCGCCTCTTTCAGGAAAGTGAACAGAGGGTGCGCGTCCTTCCCGTTCACCTCGCACTTCTCGAACATCATGAAATTGGGCTTGAAGCCGCTGCCAGGACGAACGTGCTCGAGCATGGGAAGGATTTCTTCGTTGGTGCAGTTTTCCTAAGGAAACAAAGGTAAAATCGTCCCGAGCACGGCCCGTGAGAGCCCGCCCGGGGGACGGCTCAGCCCCGCTCCCCGGCGCCGCCACCCGCCCTACCTGGTGACCGAACTGGTTGCAGGGGAAGCCGAGGACCTGGAGCCCGCGGGGGCCATAGCGCTGCTGCAGCTCGTTGAGCTGCAGGAAATCGCGCTTGGTCGTGCCTCAGAGCGACGCCACATTGACCACCAGCAGCACCTTGCCCTTCAGCGAGCCCAGTGACAGCGGCTTCGCCGCGCCCAGGGGCTTCGCCGACAGCTCCGCCAGCCCCGCCACACGCCCGCCCGCTCCTGCCGCCGCCATGGTGCGCAATGCTGAGGGAGCGGCTCCGCTCCCGCCGCCGCCTCGCTCCGCCCGCCCCGTCCCGCCGGGAGCCGCCTCCGGCCCCGCCCCGCGCCGCTCCCCGGCGCTGCCCCGCCCGGACATCGCCCCCGCGGCACCGCCCGCAGCTCCCGGGCTCGGACAGGCGGCCGGGCCTGCTCTGGAGGGCGCGGGGGCTTCCATCAGTGAAATGCGCAGAGCGGGGTGGCGTTAAAACCCACAGCTAACAGGGAAGTGTTACCGTTCCTCAGAAACGCTTTGGAAAAGCAGCAAAACACAGAATGGTCCAGCCTTCGTAGTGACAGGCCACCCGCACAGTGTGTCACCAAGGCTGCAGCATTCTCCGAGGACACCACTGCCACTGAACATGGCCTTGGGGAGATAAACACCTGCAGTTTGCGCATCAGGAATGGGAAAGATGAAAGTTTGACAAGAAAGTCTCACAAATATGTATGCTTGGCAGAAAGACTTTTGAATGTAGAATCTGAAGGAGGAATGGAATTGAAAGCAAGTTTTGATATCGAAGAAAATAATTGCTGAGCCAGTCTTACTGGATAGCTAAGAAGGCAAACGGTATGTTAGTTAGAAGGGGTTTTTATGGCTTAGAGCAAAGGATAAACCCACCTAAAACAAGAAGGTGTTTTTACCAAGCAGAAAGATAGAACAGGCAAACAAGACTGCTGATGTTTCAAGTAGAAAAAAGGTCTCAAAATTTTCCACTGCAAGAAAACTGAAAAAGAACTTCTAGCTTAAACTGTAACGTACTGACTTTTAGTGATAGGTGAACAGTAACATGAATATGGTAATTATAGTAGTTGTGATAGGCTATAGGTAAAAATTAAGGTATAGATTGGTTCTTCTGCATTAAGGTGCTCAGCAAAGAAAAGTATATAATGCATTGTAACCAAAACAAAGGGTCTCCAGGCCTGCCTGCAGCTGGAGCTGACAGCTGTAGGGACAGGCTCTGTCACCCACAACCCTGGGCTGCTGTAACGTATTGGGTGTAATAAGCTGCATTATGAAGAGTTGCCTGGAGTCCTGAATCCCTCATTACGGCTCTTACAGAAGAGGAACGGGAGGAGCACAAGAAAAAGGAGCAACAAATTCCCTTCTTCAGAGTACTATAAGTTTTCCACTTCTTTGAGGCTGGTGAAGTCTACGCACAGGATTACAGCTTGGTATATCCTCACTAGATAAAGAGAAGTAGCCTCCTTTCTCAATTTCAGGGGTTGCTTTTTCCCATCCTTGGCTTTTCCATTTCTTCCCTAACTGCTTCAGTCTGTTTGCAGGAGTGTTAGATCATGCAGTATTGACTGCTCTGTTCCCCACAGACTGAAGGCAGCCCTAAGTGAGCTGGGCTGTTTCTTGTGCTCACACCAAGCAAGTGGCCCAGCTGTCCCTCCACTTCCCTCTCCTAAAGAGGCAGTTCGGGGTCAGGCCTTGTGTCCATGTCCATGGGTTGGACCAACAGGGACAGTGGAGCAGTGCAGCCCAGCAGGAACAAAGAGCCAGGGCCTCAGCTCCAGTGCAGCTCCCAGGGGAAGCAGGGAGCCCCTGCTGAGCCTCCTGCCTGCATCTGCGCCAAGCGAGCTCCTTTCACAACAGCCCAAGGTCAGACAGCTGCTTATCAGCCCTGGCCACCAGCCAAGGCAGCCTGGGCCCCCACGCGGGGGATGCGCTCAGCCCGCCCCTGCTGTCTGCTCTCTTTTGTGCTTGGGAGCAGGGACTTGTCACGAAATGCCAGCTGTCACCAACAGGCACCACACAATGCTGCCTCTCTGCTCTGGGTGCCCAGGTGACTGCAGGATCTGGGGGGGTTGCTTTGAGTTGCTCTTGGCACCTGCCGCAATAACTGGGAACTGGAATAGTTCCAGTTCCCAGCTGTGGCAAGTTTTGGGGACTTTCCTGATTATCTTGCATCTTTGGGGACCTGCAGTGTGTTGCAGCAGTGATGGCAGGAGCCATGTCAAGTGTCCTGAGAGAGATCGGTGCTGGAAAACAGCGGATGAGCCGAGGCACATGATTCATGTTTGCTCTTGAAAAAAATGAGTTACAGTCACCACAGACTCCTCCTCACCCACCCCTGGGCACAGAGAGCCACAGCTCCTGAAGAAGAGGAATTTCCCTTCAGGGTGATATCTAGGGTGGGGCCACATCTCTGCTGCCACTTTTGGCCTCAGACTGGCACCTTCACTTTTTTGTCTGGTCCCAGGGAATGACTCTGAAGTGGGGGAGTTTACTTCTGGGGCCCTGCCCTTTCCAGAGAAGCACAGGTTAGGGCTTTCCCTTCCTTGATGAGCAAGTTTTAAGGGTACAGAATGAACTTCCTTGTTGGCTCAGAGCTATGGCCTGTGCCTGGAAACATTCTGTGCAGCCCCCTCAGCTGGGATCCAGAGGAGTGCCAGAAGCTCCAGGGGGACCAGATGGGTTCAGTGGTCCCCTTTTGGGCTGTGTGACAAGTGACAGTTGTCCTACATGGTAAAAAAATTAACTGTTTAACAGCAACAGTGCCAAGTAATCACAAAAGCCACCAAACCACACCTTCTGGCCTCTAGCTTACATCATGTCCCCACTCCTGGTAGTGAACTCCCTTCCCTGCCCAGGGGGCTGGCACTTGGCTCCTCGCTTTTCCCCTGCCTCTTCCACAGCTCCTTGCCTGCCTGGATTGCTCTCCATTAGTGCTGAGCTCTCATTCCCCAGGTCAGGTCTGGCCATCTGTGTCCTCAGCTCTGTTTCATTCAGAGCAAATGTGGCTTCACATTTGTCCAGAGGTGACAGATGTGGCAGGAATCCAGAGGGAGCCAGGCTGCCAGCCCTCAAAGGC